CCGGCGCGCCTGTCTGCACCCAGGGAAGTCCCCTGGCCTCCGGCTCACTGAGCCCCTGCTGGGTGCCCAGCAGCTGTGTAGACCCTGCGGACACAGCAGGGATCCAGACAGGCATCTCCCCCCTCTTTAGAAGACACCAATAAATACGATCATTCCAAATGGTGATGCGGGCAAGAATAGGGAATGGAGAACCCACAGGACAGGGCGAGACTTTGGCTGTAATGCCCAGGAGGGTTTCTGGTGGAGGGGACTTAAAAGTTGAGCCCCCCCACAATGAGAAAGAAGCGGCTGCTGACGGGATTAGGGTTTGTGACAACAGCCCTTGGGGCGGGGGCGGGCAAGGTGAGCTGCAGAACTGGAGGCCTGGTGTCCCCAGCAGGGTGAGGGAGGGACGCAGAAGGGCTCTGGAAAGATGGGGACAGGTCCGACTGTGGGGGCCTTTACCCCACATGTGATGATGGCTGGGTGTTAAGCAGGGTTGTGACATTCTTCAAGGGATTTTCGGAAAGGGCCACCTGGCCACTGTGTTAAAGGAAGCAACTCCAGGGCTGTACACACACACACACACACACACACACACACACGTGCACTGACTGGGGGCTGTGCACATACATCCCATTTTGCACACTCACCAGGCAAATTCTGGTTCAGGGCGAACTTGGCCATGTTTCCTGAAGTAGCCGCCATACACACCCTGCAAAAAGGCCCCAGAGAGGTGACGACAGAGTCCCTGTCCCTCCTGCTGCCCAGCCACGCACCCATCCTCATACACAGGCACTTGCCTCCCTCATCTCTGAAGAGACCTAGAGATTTTGGATTAAAGGAATGTGGGGACCCCCGGGGCCCAGGCCGGGGCGGGGACAGGGGGTAGGAAAGGCATCTGGAGGAGCAAGAGGCCAAGAGGACAATAGCAGAGGGTCAAGGATGTAGCTCAGTGCCTACCTGGAAAGCACAAGATCCTGAGTTTGACCCCAGTACCAAAAAAGAAAAAGAAAGGAAGAAAAGAAAAAAACAATAGTGGGGAGTTGGGGAGGAACAGCAGAGGCTGAATTTTCTGTGAATCCCTGGTGAAAATGAGGAATCAGTGCCGAAAAGATTGTTCAGGCCTTGTGCCTTTCGAAGAGAAAGAGGAAGCCGGATGTAAAGGTGCATGGGTGCATGCCTATAATCCTGGAGCTCTGGAAGGCTGAGGCAGGAGGATCAAAAGTTCAAGTCCGACCTCAGTGGTGCCGCCACCTGCCTCACAAATGCAAGGTCCCAAGTTCGATCCCCAGTACCAGAAAAAAAAGTGCAAGTCCAGTCTGGGTATCTTAGTAACTAGTGAAACCCTGCCTCAAAATACATTATTAAAAGAAGAGGGCCAGGGATTTAGCTCAGTGGTTCTGCCGCCTGCTTCACAAGCGCAAGGACCCGAGTTCAATCCCCAGTACCAAAAAAATAAAATAAAATAAAACTAAATAAATAAAAGGACTGGGGCTCAGTGTGGAGGCCCTGGGTTCAACCCCCCGTGCTAGAATAAGAAAGGAAAGAAGCAAAGGGGGAAAGGAGAGAGAGAGAGAGAGAGACAGAGAGAGAGAGGGAGAGAGGGAGAGAGGGAGAGACTGAGACTTGTAAGCTCTTCCCCGCTCATAGAAAACTCATGTGACCCAGGCATGGTACTGCATGCCTGCGACCCCAGCTACTAGGATTACAGATTTGAAGCCAGTGTGGGCAATTTAGTGAGACCCTGTCTCAAAATAAAATATAAAAAGGGACAGGCCAGGAATGTAGCTCAGCAGCACAGCGCCTTCCTGGCAAGAGCTAGGTCCTGAATTCAATTCCTGAAACTTAAAAAAAAAAAAAAAAAACAAGAAGAAGTAGAAGCATAAAAACAACTGGCAAGACTGTGCTTTTTGAAAATAAGATTTCTTTTTGCGGGGTACTGGGGATCGAACTCGGGTCCTTGCACTTGCAAGGCAGGCAGCAGAACTACTAAGATAAATCCCTGGCCCTTAAAAATAGGATATCTAAACCAGGTGTGGTGGTGCATGCCTGTAATCCCAGCACTCAGGAGGCTGAGGCAGGAGAATCGCTGTGAATTCGAGACCAGCCTGGGCTACATAGTGAGTTCCAGGTCAGTCTCAACCACATAGTGAGACCCTGTCTCAA